GGGGTTACCAGGGATGGGAGTGGGCTGGGGTCCCCGGGGCTCTCTGTGCAGAGGGGGCTGGAGCTGCCCCAGGGACCGGGAGAGCCTGGGAGTCCACTGCCTGCCCTTCCGCTGCTTTTTTCCGGGGCCCGGCCGCTAGGCCCAGCCCAGCCAGCAGCAGAGAGCAAACCCCACCATGGCGAATCTCCCGGCAGCCCCGATCACATGGCAAATCGGTAGCCGAGATCACGCGCGGCTCAGCTGCCTGGCGATGGATGGAGATGGGCAGAGAATCCCGTTCAGGGCCCTGTTCCAGGAGCACAGAGCCATCGTGGTGTTCGTGAGGGGGGAGCCGCTTTTTGTGTTGTCCCACCCACTTGTGCAAGCGGCTCTTGCGTAGCGGGACACCGGGGCATCTCCCCACTCAGTTCCGGTCTCCAAACCCACATGTTGGGGGGTGGGGGAGGGAGGAAGTAGGCTAGCTGCAAATTGGGTTCCCACGGTGCCCCTCACGCTGTCACTGCCTCGGAGGGCCTCGCCGCGTGCAGCACCAGCCCAGGTTCAGCACTGGCTCTACCCCTTGGGGGGTGGGGGCAGAAGGCAGCGAGCTCCGCCAGGCGTGGTCCGAGCTCCGCCAGGCGTGGTCCGAGCGAGCTGCTGCCAGGCTTGCCCGCTCAGCTCGGGGGCGCTGCCCTGCCCGGGGCTGCTGGCGGAGCCTGGCTATGGGGAGTTTTATTCCGGTGAGCCGAGGGCAGTGCTGAGGCTCCTGCTGGGAGTGACCGGCCACGGGTCCGCCCGGTGTGGCTGCCGCGAGGAGGTGGAGGAGACCCTCCCTGCCCCCGGGATGCCCCGGGACCCAGTCAGTGCAGGAGGCGGGGCGGGCACCGAGCTGCCCTCGCAGCGGGCTGTGCGCGGAGCTTGCCATGAGCAGCGCAGAGCCGTGGTGTCTGCCCCTCCACCATGCACAGGTTCTGCTGCTGCCTCTGCACCGCAGAGCGCTCCAAGGGGCCCGGCCGCCAAACTGTCCGCATCAAAGTTGGCTGCAGTGGGGAGAGGGGGGGAGAAAGAGTTGCGGGCTGCTATGCTGTGCCCCCCCCCTCACTCCTCCAGCTGTGCTGCCCCCTCCCCCTGGCTCCTCCAGGCGTGCTGCCCTCCCTTGCCTGCAGGAGCCCAGCGCAGCCCCGGCAGACCAAGCTTCAGAGTGGAGTGTGGGCCCCGCTTTTAGAAAATGTGCTGCGGGGAAGCAGCTGCCTCCCCTGCACCCCACTAGCTACGCTACTGCCCCTACCCCTTTCAAGAGCGGTGCCCCATCTCTGGGTTCAGAGGGTCGGAGGGGGCTCCAGGCTGAGGCAGGGGTTTGGGGTGTGTGTGTGTGTGGGGGGGGTATGGGCAGGGGATCCAGGCTCTGTGGTGGGGTCAGAAACGAGGGGTTTGGCATGTGGGAGGGGGCTCGCAGTTGGGGCAGGGGTTGGGGTGGTGAGGGCTCTAGCTCAGGATGCGGGCTCTGCTGTGGAGCCGGGGATGAGGGTTTGGGACACAGGAGGGGGCAGGGGCCAAGGGGTTCGGAGTGCAGGAGGGGGCTGGGGGCTCTGGGAGGGAGTTTGGGTGTGGGAGGGGGCTGGGGTGCCATCTCCGGAAGGGAGTTTGGGTACAGGAGAGGACGCGGGCTCAGCTCACCTCACGTAGCTCCTGGAAGAGGCCGGTGTGTCCCTGCGGTCCCTAGGCACAGGGGCAGCCAGGGAGGCTCCGCTTAGCTGCTCTCACCCGCAGGCACCGCCCTGCAGCTCCCATTGCCCACGGGTCCCAGGCAATGGGCGCTATGCAGCCCGTGGATGGGGCAGCGCGTGGAGCCCCCTGGCTGCGCCTAGGAGCCACAGGACACGTCGGAGCCAGGGCAGGGAGGCCTTGGAGCCGCTGTGCTGCCAACCAGAGGCCCAGAGCCACCAGGATCCCTTTCGCACTGGGAACCCGTTACTCCCCCGCCCCCAGCTCACGTCACACGGCAGGTCCCAGGGGCTGTAACTCGGCGCCCCGGCTCTGCCCGCGGCGCCCCGCTAGGCTGTTTAGCGCCTAAGCGGCTTTACGGTGGGGCCCACGCAGAACGGGGGGTGGGAGGGGCTACAGCAACTGCCTTTCCCCCTACAGCCCCGCCCCTCCCGCAGCCAC